CCAGGAGGATGGGGAGGCGGTGGGGAGGTGGTACAGGGCGAGGAGGATGGGGGAGGCGGTGGAGAGGCAGGCCAGGCAAGAGGATGGGGGAGACAGGCCCCATGGGGGAGGCGGTGAGGGGGCAGACAGGGCAGGAGGATGAGGGGACAGGCCGCATGAGGGAGGCGGACAGGGCAGGAGGATGGGGGAGGCGGTGGGGAGGCGGACAGGGCAGGAGGATGGGGGAGGCGGTGGGGAGGCGGACAGGGCAGGAGGAGGATGGGGGGGACGGGCCCCATAGGGGAGGCGGGCAGGGCAGGGCAAGGCGGGGGACCAGCCCCATGGGGGTGTGGGGGGCTGACAGCACGCTGCCCGTCCCCTCTCCCCGGCAGTACATCAACGGCGGGAACCTGGAGCAGCTGTTGGACAGCCCAGTGCCGCTCTCCTGGGCCGTGCGCGTCCGGCTGGCCCTGGACATCGCCCGTGGCCTGCGCTACCTGCACTCCAAGGGCATCTTCCACCGCGACCTCACCTCCAAGGTGGGCAGTGCCCCTCCCCCGCGCTCCCCGGCCCCCCGGAGCGCTCGCTCGCCCATGGCGCGGGGTCTCAGGGGAGCCAGCCCCACCATTGCCCGGCCCGTGGAAGCCGCAGGGCCCTGGGACGAGCCGGGGCTGGCAAGGTGCTGAACCCGAGCCTCGCTCTGCCGCCTGGGGGCTGCCCTGACGGGACGGTGTGAAGGGCTCGTTGTCACGGGCTCCCAGCCCCCTACGATCCCTGGGGGTCCCCTCAGTGCGACAGCCCTTCTCAGGGGTCCGCTCCCTCTCGGGGTCAGGCCCCTCCACCTCCTGGAGCCGCACCTCTCTGAGCCTCAGCACGTCTGTCTCAGCCATGGGCCCCCTCAGGGAGTCCCCTCGCTCTGGACCCCCGGGCCTCCACCCCGAGGGAATAATGCCCCCTCGCCCCCATTCTCTAGCCCGGAGCGACTCTCAGCCAGCGTAACACAGGAGGGTTTACTGAGCGTCTGACCCCAGCACAGGAAACTCTCCAGGCCTCAGGCCTGGCCTCCCCCAGCCCAGCACATCTAGGTCTGTCCAGCTCCGGCGCTTTCCCCTCCCAGCCCAGAGACACCCCGCCCCCACCTCCAGCTGGGCATCCGATATCACTGGTCCCCAAGTCTCGCCTCTGTCCTTTGTCTCTGTCCCAGGTAAACAGGGTGCCCTGGGCCTCCTCTCCCCTCTCCTGTCCTCTGGCCCCTCTGGCTGGAACCGGCTGGTCAGGTCACTGGGGTCCTCTCCCCGCAGCCCATTGTCCTCCCACTGGCCAGAACCGGCTGACGGCCAAGCTGGGCTGGGCCTCTTAGTCACCCAGTCACCAGTTGTTAGGGTTCCCCATCTCCAGGCCGTTGTCCGGGGGTCCTGGCTGTCAGGCGAGGTCACACCTGGTCCCCTCTGCAACAGCAAACCCTCTCCCACACAGGGAAACTGAGGCACGCACACGCTATTCATGTAAAACACTACAAAAATCCCCAACTTCGTCACATGTGGAGAGGGCCTGGCTGGATCCCCTGTGCTCCCTCAGACGCTCGCTGCCCTCCCCCGGGACAGCAGGGTGGGAATGCCCCTGCCCGCGGCCCTCTTGATTGCCTGTGGGGGGCAGTGCGCCATGGGGCAGGTGCCAGGCGGGGCGGGCGGCGTGACGTCTCCTCTCCTCTGGCTTGCAGAACTGCCTGGTGAAGAGCGAGGACAACGGCTACACGGCCGTGGTGGGCGACTTCGGCCTGGCGGAGAAGATTCCCACCTACAGGTGAGTGGGGAGCTGCCCCCACCCCAGAGTGGGGCACGTCACCCAACAGGCCCAGGCAGAGGGGCCAGCCGTCCCCTCTGGACCCTTCCCACACCCAAGGCAGGGCAGCACCCACCCCCTCCTGGAGATCGGAGCCGGCGGGGGAGGGAGATCGGGGGTAGTTGGGCGGGCTGTGGGTTGCCCCTGTCTGGAGGGGGGATGGGGAGGGCTTGGGGAAGGGCTTGGAGGGGTGTGAGCTGCCCCTGGCTTGGGGCAGGGACCCATGGGATTGGGGGTTGCCCTGGCTGGGGGAGGAGATGGGGGGGGAGCTGAGGGTTGCCCCAGCTGGGGGAGGAGACCCACGGGAGCTGGGGTTGCCCGGCTGGGCAGGGTGCCAGGCTAACCCTGCGGCTCTGCCCCCCAGCGAGGACACTCAGAAGGAGCCGCTGGCCGTGGTGGGCTCACCGTACTGGATGGCCCCGGAGGTGCTGCGTGGGGAGCTGTACAACGAGAAGGTAACTCGCTGCCTGCGCCTGGGGCCGTCCCCTCGCTGCACCGGGCACCGGGGGCTGATTGCCTTTGCCACGCCTGGGCGTGGCCATTTCCAGGGGCAGTGCCAGCCTGGCAGCTGGCAGGGCCCAGCGGAGCAGGGGGATGTGTGTGTGATGGTGGGTCCTGGGGGTCGGCGGGGGGGAGGTGCTGGGAGGCAGCGGGGTGGGGTGTGTGAAGGGGCTGGCAGGGTGTGTGGGAGGAGATGGGGGGCAGCAGGCGGGGGCTGAGGGGGTTGGGGGGCAGGGGGTCATGGGAGGTGCTGGGGGGCAGCAGGGTGTGGGAGGGTGAGGGGGCCGTCAAGGTGCAGTGGGGGGCATGGGAGGTGCTGGGGGGTGTCAGGGCGTGGGGAGGCGAGGGGGCCGTGTGGTCACTGACACTGTCCTTCCAGCGTTTCCTGGAGAGCATCCTGAACTTGTCACTCCCCCAGCCAGTGCTTCCCCCCGCCCCGCTTGGAGAGGCTGGGACTGGGGTAGCCGGGAGCCCCCCAGCCAGCGCCCCACCCCGCCCCCACATGCCCCCTGCTGGGAGAGGCCGGGGTTGCAGAAGCCGTGATGTGCCGCGCTGTCCGGCTGGACCGTGGGCCTGGCGGGAGCCGTGGGGATATCCTGGCTCGTGGGTGCCCGGTGGAAGGGCCGTCGGGTTCCCCTCAGCGCCGCTACTAAACCCTCCCGCTCCCGCTCCTCTCCGCAGGCCGACGTCTTTGCCTACGGCATTATCCTGTGCGAGAGCATCGCGCGGGTCCCCGCCGATCCGGACTACCTGCCCCGCACCGAGGTAACGCTCGGCTGGGCCAACGAGGGCCTGTCCTCAGGGTTAGGTGTGGGGCGGGGGCGAGCCAGAGCGTGGCGGGGTGCACGTGGCGGGGGTGCAGAGGCCTGTGAACCTCCCGCCCCCCGCCAGAGACACGGGGCCCTGCTCCCCGGCTCCAGGGACGGCTCCTGTGTGGGGCAGGGCTTTGGGGCACTTCCTGCCCCCAGTGGTCGGCGACACCTGTGGCTGGGATCCCCCTGGGGCGCGGTCTGGGGGATCCCCCTGGGGCGCGGTCTGGGGGATCCCCCTGGGGCAGGAGCTCAATGCAGAGGAGTGCTGGGGCTCCAGGGAGGGGGCAAGACGCCTGGCCTGGGCCCCGTGATTCAGGCTCGGTCGCTGACCTCCCGTCGTTTCCCCGAGCAGGATTTTGGGCTGGACGTCGCCGCTTTCTGCAACATGGTGGGGGACGACTGCCCTGCGGCCTTCCTCCAGCTGGCCTTCCACTGCTGCAGGGTACGTGTCCCCCTCTTCCCTTCCCTGCCCCCGGGCTGGGTCCCTGGGCCTGCCCCCCACACCGCACACCAAGACACGGGGCAGCCGGGTGATTGCCTCAAACAGGGACCCTCATCTGAAATTCTGATTCCTGGGGCCTAGGCCCTGCCCCCCGCCAGCCTGTCCCCGAATGGGGGGGTCCTGGCACCACAGAGCCACCAGGATCCGGCCTGTTCTCCCCTCCCTCACCCCCAGCAACCGAGCTCCCCCTGCTCCAGGGGGACGCTGCCCCGGCTCCCGCCCAGCAATCCCTCCCGAGTCCCGGGGGTGGGGGCCCCGGTGAAGCCGGGCAGGCGGGTGAGAGTTGGTGACGAGGCGACTCCCCCACCCAGATGGAGCCGACGGCCCGACCCGCCTTCGTGGAGATCACGCAGCGCCTGCAGGGCATCCTGGAGCACCAGCTGGGAGTGGGGGGCACCGGCGCCGACCGGCAGAGCGATGGGGAGAATGTGCCCTCACCCGGGACCCCGGCCACGCTGAACGGTACCGTGACTGCCCCTCCCCCGGGCCTGTCCATCCTGCTGCCCCCCCGCCCCTCCTGGGGCACCCCCGAGCTGGGCGCTGCGGGTGCTGAAGGGACCCATAGGGCATGTGCTGCCCCCCTGTGGCCAGAGCTGGGCGCTGCGGCCGCTGAGCCTGTCCCCATGATGCTTGCTGGTCAGCGCTGCAGCAAAGGGGTCCGCGGGCGGCCTGCTGGCTGTCCCCCGGCGGGAGGGGTACGTGACCCGTCTCTCACCCCACTAAACTAATGGGGAGGCCCCACAGCCCTGGGGTGGGATCAGGCGGAAATGGCAGCCCCACTCTGCGGGGTGCGAGGGGGGGTGATGGGGCTGGCGGGACACAGGCCTGCTGTGATAGGGCAGTAGGGTGCCCAGGGGGTTCTCCCGCCCGGTGCCCAGAGCCCCTGGCCACAGGCAGGAGGGGCTGGAGGCCGTGGGCCCGGCCCAGCCTGGGGGGCTGCTAACCCGCTGTCTGTGTTGTGCCAGGCGAGGCAGCGAGCGAGCCCGCGCTCCCTGAGCAGCCACCGCCGCGTGATCTGAGCTGGCCACACCTCCAGCCCGACCTCCGCCTCGCCCGCAGCCGCTCGGACATGTTCCCGCCCAGGTCCCCGGCCCTGCTGCCGCCCCAGGAGCCCGCCGCGGGCGCCCGCCCCAAGGAGCTGCCGCTGCGCCTCAACCCCTTCTCCCAGCGCGAGGACCTGAAGGGCGGGAAGATCAAGCTCTTCGACACGCCCAGCAAGTCGGTCATCTCGCTGACCTTCGCCCTGCCGCCGCCCACCCCCTACCAGCTGGGCACGCCCATCACGCCCGAGCCCGTGGTGGAGGCGCAGTGCGACTTCTCCGCCCCCCTGGTGCTGACACGCAAGTGCCGCTCGCTGCCCGCGTCCCCAGAGCCGGCCCGCCACGGGAGCCTGGTGCTGGGGGGGGAGCCGGCCCGCGCCTGCTGCCAGGAGGGCCCCCAGCCTCACAGCCCCTTCCCCACTCGGAGCTGGGGGGCGGCGGGGGAGGTGGCAGGGCGCTCGCCCCTCCCCAGCCCCCCCCGCAGTGGAGCAGATGGACTGCAGCCCCGACAACCCCGAGCCGGAGCCGGCGCCTGCCCCGCCGCTCACCAACAGCACCTTCATCAGCACGTCGGCGTCGGGCGCCCAGCCCTGGCCGCCGGGGCCCCCCAACGGCCTGCCCCTCAACAACAACAGCGTGGTGGTGAGCGCCCCGCCTGGCTGGGGCCACGGCCTGGAGCGCGGCTCCTCGGAGCTCAGCATCCCCCGCCCGGGGGCCTTGGAGCGGACGGAGCACTCGAGCGCGCTGCCCCGGCACGCCTCCAGCGCCGGGCGGGAGCAGGACGAGGTGCTGGCCTGCCCCGGCTGCTGCCTGGGCCCCTTCAGCTTCAGCTTCGCCTCCGTCTGCCATCGGCCCGCGCCCAGCCCGCCCCGCTACCAGCACCTCGCCTGCGAGGCCAAGAGCCTCCTCTGCCAGGACAAGCGCCCGCCCGAGCCCAGCCTTAAGCTGCCGGAGGCGCAGTCCTAGTGCTGGGCAGACGGGACGCTGGACACGGCCCCTGCGTGGCTCCGGCTCTCCCCACGGCCTGCGCTGGGCAGGGCCAGGAGCCCCGAAATCCCCACACCTCGCCTGTGCCGGGACCCGGTTCTGCCCTGGTGACCTGGCTGCCCCTAGGGCCTCTCGCTGTGCTGGTGAGACCATCAGCCATTGCCCAGGCCACGCACAACCTGGGCTCAGGTCCTGGCTGGCCCAGTGTGACCGGGGGGGCTCGTGTAGGGAGCTCCAGGCTGGGCACGGACCCAGCGGCGAGGTGGGGCCGGCTCTGAGCGGGGCTGGCTCCCTGCAGTGGCACCAGGGGCGGGTGAGTCGCGCTGGGCTGACGTGCAATAACATGGCTGCCTCGTGCGCACGGCCGCGTCGGGGCCGGCGCTTCCCCTAGGAGGGGGAACGGTGCTGGTTCATGCCCCACCGTGGGGATGGGGCTGGGTGGAGGGGCTCTGCACCCCACTCAATGCTGGGGGCTCTGGTGACCAGCCACTGAGGTGCGGCCCTGATGGACCAGTGGGGCGCGGTGCCACCTGGGAGTCTCTGGGAAGGCACGCGGGGGCAGGTGGGCTGGACCGGCCCTCCATCCCACCCTCCCTGTCTGCGGCTGTGGGGAGAGGAGCGGGGCTGACCCCCGAGCAGGCGCAGTCAGGGGGTCACTCCGGAGCCTGGGGCTCCTCCCTGGCCACCTGTCCCTGCGCGTCGGCTCCCCGGCCCCCGCGCTCAGAGGCGATGGGAGCACAAGCCGGGGGGGGCAGTGGTGGGTGCTGTGGGGCAGCAGTGTGCATGGGGGGGCTCCCCTCTGTCCATCACACACGGGTTAGGGGCCAGGTAACGGGTGAGCCGGGCACTGAGCCGGGGTGACAGCGTGAAACCCTCCCCCATGGAACCCGCCTGTCCGTGGTGGGGGGCACGGAGCAGACTGGATGCCAGTCACTGGCAAGTGGGGATAAATACACCCCCCCCACACACACATCATCACTTCCTGGTTCAGGCCCTGCCCCCTCTGTGGCAGCTGTGAAGTGGCCAGTGGGGCGGGTCTTTGCAATATGGTGGCTGGGGCGTGCCCCCCCCGAGCTGTGTCCCCAAGCTGCCCAGCCCCTGCCCGGGGGCAGCACCCAGGCTCCCCCCCAATGTATACGATGCACTGGTGAATGCAAACTCTTGTTTTTTATTATGATTAATAATTGCTAGTAATATATGCGCTTATTTAAGGTGTTCCAATAAAAGTGACGGTCCCAGCTTCCTGTGTGTGTGCCGCACGATGGGGGGGTGGGGGGTGGGGGAGGCTGAGCTGGCTGGTTGCAGGACAGGGATACAGCCGGGCCTGGGAGCGCGAGTCAGGAGAGCCCACCTCATGCGAGGCCCCTTGGTGCCGTGCCTCGGTTTCCCCATCTGTGCCCTCAGGACTGCGCAGGGCTCTGGGGGTGGGGAGCGTGTCAGCAGCACTGAAGGCTGTTCCAGCCCCATGGGGCCCCTGGTTGCAGCGCGGGGCGGAGGGGGGGGGCAGGGGGGCAGGCACTCGGGCAGTGGGGCCAGTATGGGAGGTGCGAAGGGAGGGGTCGCTGTGGAGGGGGCTGGTCCTTGCCGCTCTCCCGCTGGGGCCAGGGGGATCCACTGGTGGGAGGGATGGAGCCAGTCCTGTGCTGGGAGCACGCTGGGGCCACCCTGCCTCCAGCCCGCACCAGCATCTCGGGGTGGGGTTTGGGCACTGCCCCGTCTGCCCCTTGGCCCTGCGCTGCCCCCTCTGCTCAGCCCAGCCCCACTGCAGCGCCACTCCCACTCCAGCCTGGCCCCAGGCACGCGGCCGGCTCCCACGCCCCCCTAGCCGCTCAGTGACCCTCCTTGGTCATAAACCCCCACACACCTGGGCCTGCTCTGCCCCCTGCGTCAGCACCGGCCTCCTCCCATGCCCGCTGCTCGCTGCCAGCCTCCGGCCACTCGGCCCCTGCACTGCCCAGCGGGGGGAGGGTTGTGTCTCTGAAGCCCGGCGGGGGGGCATGTTGTGTCTCTGACCAGGACCGGGGGGTGCCGTGTTGTGTCTCTGAAGCCCAGCGGGGGGAGGGGAGGTGTGTTGTGTCTCTGACGCCTGGGGCAGGACCGGGGGGACGGGGGACAGGGACGTGTTGTGTCTCTGAAGCCCGGTGTGTGTGTGTGTTGTGTGTGTGAAGCCCGGGGGGGGGCGTGTTGTGTCTCTGAATACCGGGGTGTGTGTGTGTTGTGTCTCTGAATACCGGGGGGGACGTGTTGTGTCTCTGAAGCGCAGTGGGGGGAGGAGGGGCGTGTTGTGTCTCTGACGCCCGGGGTGTGTGTGTGTTGTGTCTGTGAAGCCCGGGGGGGCGTGTTGTGTCTCTGACGCCTGGGGCAGGACTGAGGGGTGCCGTGTTGTGTCTCTGAAGCCCAGCGGGGGGAGGGGGGGCGTGTTGTGTCTCTGAAGCCCGGGGTGTGTGTGTGTGTTGTGTCTGTGAAGCCTGGGGGTGGGGGGGCGTGTTGTGTCTCTGACACCTGGGGCAGGACCGGGGCGGGGGGGGGGTGCCGTGTTGTGCTCACCCAGCCCTGGCCCCGCTGACCTATCAATGCCGGGGGCGGAAGGTGGGGCGGCGAGGGCTGAGCCCCAGCCCGGCTCTCACACCCCTGGGCACAGCAGGTCCTGGGACCAGGCCTCACTGCTCTGCTGCACCCAGCTGCCGGGCAGCGCCCCGATCCCAGCCAGAAATCACCCCACACCAGCGACCCAGCCGGCCTGGGAGCCCGTCACCGTTAGAAAGGGGCAGGCTGCTTGCCCTGCACGGCGCCAACGCCCACAGCCATGGGGCTGCGGGAGGGTCTGTGGGGCAGAGAGCAGCTCCCTGCACCCTCCCCGGAGCCCGCCCCACTGGGGCATTTAGTGCAGCAGGGCGGGCGGAGCTGCCAGGGAGCCCACACTCGGCAGGGCCACTCGCCCCCATGGAACCCAGCCCAGGTGCGGGAAGGGGGCTGGCTGTCAGCTGAGGGTGGGTGGCTCTTTTCCTGGGCATGATGCCCCCAGCCCTTCTCTGCGATCGCCCTGCCCAGCACACAAGCTGGCACCTGTCAGGGGAGGCCGGGCTCCAGGCTGGAGCAGGGGGCAAGGCTGAGTGTGGAGCGGGCGGTGCTGGTGGGGCCGGCCCTCGGGTGCTGCATCCTCGGCAGTGGGAGCAGGGCACGAACGCGGCGCAGGGGCCGAGCCTGGAGCAGCGGGAGCTGTAAGGGAACAAACAGGGTGAGCTGGGCCAGAGACAAAGCCCAGAGGAGGAGGGGCTGGAGGGGGTTTCAGTCTGGAGCTGGCTGGGGATGGGGAGTGAGGGAGACGGGGGGTGTCTGGCTCACTGGGCCCCGGAATGGACCCAGCTGAGGGATCCCGTTCGCTGGACCGACAAGCTCTGGTTTAGACCGTGTTCCTGTCTTCTAATAAACCTCTGTGTTATTGGCTGGCTGAGAGTCATTTCTGACTGCAAAGTGGGGGTGCAGGACCCTCTGGCTTCCCCAGGACCCTGCCTGGGCGGACTCGCTGTGGGAAGCGCACGGAGGGGCATATGCTGAATGCTCCCAGGAGAGACCCAGGAGGTGAAGTCGTGGGAGCTTCTTGCCCTGAAGACAGTCTGCTCCGAGGGAGAGGAGGCTCCCCAGAGTCCTGACTGGCTTTGTGGGGAGCAGTTCCAGAGCATTGCCCAGGACTCCGTGACACCCCCCCAGCACCACCCTGCAAACCCACCACTCCCCTCCCCCCATGTGCCCTGCCCCCCCAGCACCGCCCTGCAAACCCACCACTCCCCTCCCCCCATGTGCCCTGCCCCCCAGCACCGCCCTGCAAACCTGGACCTCGCCCGGGATGTCCCCAGTATGGGGATGGTGTCCACACTTACAGGAGTGTCCTGTAGGGCTCTCATTGATTGTCTCTTCAGGGACTCTAAGGAAACCACGGTCCGTGTGAGCTGGGTTGGCTGGCTGCCTTCTCACAGATCCATGGCTTCTTTTGACGAGAATAGCATGTGTCACTGCTTATGACACCACCTTTTATTGTTCCACACATCCTATAGCTTTCACTCGGGAATAGCCACTCTCTGGAAAGAAAAGGGGCATTACTGAGACAGCACGTCCCACACTGCACTGGCTGTCAGCTGTGCCCCCCCGGCGTTCCAGCGGGCGCACTAATGCCAGCTCCCCGTCGATTTCAAGGCCAGAGTCACTTCACCCAGTGGCACCTGCAGCCCACCCAGGAGCTTCTGCTTCAGCTGGACTGGAGCTTTGCAAAGCGACCCCCACTCGGCACTGAAACCCCCTGGGATGGAGACGGCACCGCGTGCCTGGGTGAGCTGTTCCATGGCTTAACTCCCCTCCCGGGTCTCTCCCTTTTTTTTTAAGTGCCTTATTTCCAGTCTGGTTTTTGTCTCACTTCATCTTCCAGCCACTGGGGCTTGTTCTGCTTTCGTCTGCAGCTAGACTGAGGAGCCGCCTGCTCTCAGAAATCTGCTCTGGATGCAGGGTGACCAGATGTCCCGATTTTATAGGGACAGTCCCAATTTTTGGGTCTTTTTCTTATATAGGCTCCTATTACCCCCCACACCCGTCCCGATTTTTCACACTTGCTGACTGGTCACCCTATCTGTACGTAGGTGCGTGGGCCCAGATCACAAAGCCACGCAAGCCCCAGGCTTAGGCACCCGGCGATCCAGAAAACCCCTCGGCTGCCGCCGAGACCTGCAGGAGCCTAAACTCACTCAGCACCGAAGCTGTCGCTGTAAAGGTTTCCGCCCCCGGCTACTGTTGTCACAGCTGAGTTTCTGCCTTGGAATCCGCCCCCCCCCCCCGGCATTCACACCTCCTCCTGCCCTGCCGCTCCTGCCAGGCTCCCTTCAGCCGCTCCTGCCCCTCAGCCCCCTCACGGGGCTCGTCTCCCTGTGCACCCTGTTCCAGGCACACTGCTTCTGCTCCCGGCTCTGCCGCTCCATACTCAGCTTCATGGAGTCCAGGGCCAGAAGGGACCAGTGTGATCACCTAGTCCAACCCCCTGCCCGGCACAGGGCCTAGGTCCAGTCCGACCCCCTGCCCGGCACAGGGCCCAGGACCGGTCCGACCCCTGCACGGCACAGGCCCTAGGACCGGTCCGACCCCCTGCCCGGCACAGGCCCCAGGACCGGTCCGATCCCCTGCCCGGCACAGGGCCTAGGACCAGTCCGACCCCCTGCCTGGCACAGGCCCCAGGACCGGTCCGACCCCTGCACGGCACAGGGCCCAGGACCGGTCCAACCCCTGCACAGCACAGGCTAGGGACCTGCCCCCAAATAATTCTTGGCAGATCTCTTAGAAAAGATCCCACCTTGATTTAAACATGGTCAGTGATGGAGAATCCACCGCGGCCCTTGGTAACTTGCTCCAATGGATAATGACTCTCACTATCAAAAAAGGACACCTTATTTCCAGTCTGAATGTGTCTAGCTTCAACTTCCACCCAAAGGATCGCGTTAGATCTTCCTCTGCAGGGTCCAGTATTAAACACATGTTCCCCATACAGGTGCTGATAGACTGATCAAGTCACCCCGTAACCTCTTCCTTGTTAGGTTAACTAGATGGAGCTCTTTGCATCTCTCACTGCGAGGCAGGTTTTCCAATCGCTTACTCAATCTCGTGGCTCCTCTCTGAACCCCCTCCAATTATCAATGTCCTTCCTGAACTGTGGACAGCAGAACTGGACACACTGTCCCAGCACCATTGGCTTCCTTCTGGGACTTCCCCTGTGTTCCCAAAGTTACTGAAACTCAACAGTCACTGTCCAGTTAAAGGACCAATTTCCCAAAGCTTAAAGCAATTGTCAGCATGGCTGACTGGGCACATGTGTTTCCAGTTGGGTAGCTGTGATGGGATGGACTTGCCCCACCACAGTAGCGTTACAAGAACTGGAATTGTTCAAGGTCATCCCACCGGATGCCCCAAACGCCACGATTTCACAAACAGGAAGTGACTCTGGTCAAAAAACCATCCTGCTTAAATGGAGCTGTGACAGCAGCAACAAAACATGTTTAAAAACCCAATGGAAGTCGGGGGACGTGTGATGAGGTGCCTACCCACCGGTGCTGAAAAGGCTGACGTGGGCCTGAGAGGCCAGTTAACCCCCCTGGGTACACCGGGAGGATGGGCCATGGCCAGGTAGTGAGGAACCCAGCGGGGGAGTGCTAGACACAGAGGGTGTCTGCAGCGGGAGGGCTGCCGGGGAAGCTCTGCAGTCC